TATATATATATGCACCTAGGAAGCTAAATAAGGGGATTTTAAAAAAATACAATTTAATTTATTTAAGATTTATTTTTTTTCTAAAAATATTTGTAATTTATTTATTTAAATTAAATTAAAATTAAATCTAATTAAATTAGAATTGTTTTAAATTAAAAAAATAATAATACCTCTTTAGTACTGCATAAAATATTTTAAATCAATATTTCTTGTATGCCATATTGCTTATCGCAACCCATTCTGGGATTTTTTTTCTTGACAGAGTACATGCAGGGTTGCTTTAGAAAATGTTGTCTAGGTAGGCAGTTCACTAGGCTAAATATTTTTTTTTTCTTTTAGATAAAACATTGGGAGTTTTTCATTATCGCTCATCAAAGGGAACATACAAACTCAACTATACAATGGCGCAGGAGGCCTGCAAAGAAACAGAAGGCACTATCGCTACTTACGCACAGCTGTCCTATGCCCAGCAGGTGGTGCTCTTACAGTAACACTAGCTGTCATACCTCTCATTCTCATGCTCTCATTCAGCTCATTGTCTGAATGTTATCGGGTGTCTTTTCCCTTACGTTTGTCCTGCAGGCTGGTTATAACTTGTGCGCAGCAGGCTGGCTTGACAAAGCGAGGGTAGCGTATCCTATGAGCTTCTCTAACCCTAAATGTGGCTCTGGACACGTGGGGATTGTGGACTATGGTGTCCGCAATAACTTGAGTGAGATGTGGGACACATTCTGTTATAGAGTGAAAGGTAAAAGTCATCATGGGATATATGTGAAGCTGTGTATACAAGCAGGGGGAATTTTTTGTTTAGACGGTTTGTGTGTGTTTCAGATGTGAAGTGTGAGTGTAAAACTGGCTACATTGGTGACGGATACTCCTGTACAGGAAACTTGCTGCAGGTTCTCTCAGCTAGACCAACCCTGTCTAACTTCCTGGCCGTGAGTAGAGCTTGTTTGTTTGATTGTTTGTTTTTTGTTAAAGCATTGAAATGATTTTATGGACATGGTGAACCTTCTATGAACCTTCTTTGTCTTTTTTTTTTTAGCAAATCCTGAATTACTCAACTTCAGCATCAGGAAAGGAGTTTGTGAATCGCCTAAGTAACATCACTATCCAGTCCACTCTCTTTGTACCTGATAATGATGGTCTCTTTAGCAATCAGGTGATTTCCACATACACCTTTTATACTTTTAAATGTTGCTGCCATTTTGTTTAAAGTATTTTTAAATATATTTTGTAATATTTTTAAAAGTGTTTTTTTTTTTTTTTTCACTTTTAATCTCAGAGTAACACCACTGATGCATGACTTGTACAACAGTGGTCAGATTTTGAAAGTCTTTCAGCTCATAATTATATTTTATAGATAAAAATATTTGGTGTGATATTATAAAGACAACTTATTGTTAAAATTAAATAATTGGCTTTTATACTGTCACTATGCTAAAGCCAAAGCAAGTTATTAAAATATTATCTTTAAAATATTTACTTTGTATTAAGCTGTCAAAATTTTTTTTTACCAACTGTTAGGGTAATATTAGATACACTACCATTCAAAAGTTTTAAAAAGTTGAAATTAATTAAACAGTATTGCTGCCTAATATTTTTGTAGAAGCTGTTTTTTGTCAGGATACTTTGAGTACAACATTCAAAAGAACAGCATTTATCTGAAATAGACTTTTTTTGTCTTTACTGTCACCTTTTATCCATTTTATTTGTCCTTGCTAAATAAAAGTATTAATTTCTTTAAAAAAAAAAGTAATGATCCCAAACTTTTGAACAGTAGTGTACGTATAAAAAGAAATGTTTTAAAATTCAGATTTCTAATTCAGATTTATTTATAAAGCAATTTTCACAATAAATACTGAATCATTCCAAAGCAGTATATTAAAAAAAATTGTATTGAACACTTCATAAATACTGTAAGTAAACACATTAACAGTACTAAAAAATAAACTAGGACCCCAGACCCTAGTTTGAAAACCCCTGTAGGCCCCATTGGTTAATGCCCCTTATGTGTTCAACAGACTTTGAGCGGCAGAGACATAGAGCACCACCTACTGGATGGGAGGGCTTTAGTACTGCAGGCTCTTATTAACATCACTCATGTCCGGACACGACTGGGACACAGCCTGACCATCACGGGTGTGCCTGATCTCCAGAACCCTCAAATAATGGTGAGGATGCAGACTTACTTCCATTTATATTAAATAATTTGAGTCACGTGGATAAACGTGTTTAATCTGCTTGTCGTAACTCTCATCTTCATAGACCTCCTTGGGATACATCAACGACCGTTATGTCATAGACTCCGACATTTTGGCATCCAATGGGATCATCCATGTTCTGCAGGGCCCATTGAAAGCACCTCCCCCTCCACCTCCATCCATCCACCCGGCTCATAAGGCTGGGATGGGCATCGGCATCCTGGGGCTCATCATCCTCATCGTAGCAGCTGGATTTGTGGGATACAATTTCTACACACATAAAACAAAGCCATTCCAGTTCCATTATTTCAAGGTAATCCTTGTTTACGCATCTTGTTTGTGTTCGCGTTTCTGTATTAGGGCTGTCAAAGTTCACATTAGTGGATTAAGTTAATTATTTATCAATAATTTATTTATAATTAAAACCTAGGCAGAAAGTTTAATGAAATTATTCTACTGAATGTCATGCACACAAATTGCCAAATGCAAGAATTTCAGAAGTTATTTTGTGTATTAGATTATTTGTGATTAAATAATTTAATCGACTGACAGCCCTATACACTTTCTTTTTTTCTATATGTGGTGTGCGTTTATACATAATCACTTTATTTATTGTATTTTTAGGAGGATGAAGATGTGAACCCATCAGAATCCAGTCCAAACATCAGTAATCCTGTATATGACTCTTTCCCTGCCACAAAAGAACAAACTCCAACGGTCAGCGAGTCAAATGTAAGAGAAGCAGCTTTTTTACCCAGCAAACACACAACGTTCCCCTAACATTCCCATATGGTTCCCATTTGGTTATTTTTTGGGAATCAAAAAAGTTCTCTGTAAGTTCTTTTTTTTTTTTTTACGAAAAACTAACCTTCCCAGAATATATTCTAATGGTTATTTTTAGGCTTAATTTTTATAACCATAAATTAATTTCCCAAAAAATTGCAGGGATGTTTTTGTAATAACCTCACATTTTATTTTTATAACAATAAACTAACCTTCCCAGAACGTTGCAGGGATTGATTTTTATAATAATAAAAAACCTAAATAAACCTAATAACCTGTAAATAATAATAAAAATGTTCTCTAATAGTTTTTTTTTAATAACCTGAAACTAACCTTCCCAGAATATTGCAGGGAAGTTTTTATTTTTATTTTTATTGAAACATTTTGGGGAACCAAAAATTGCTAGCTGGGTAATATTGTTATGGTTGCTTAAATGCTTAGAATTTTTATTATGTCTTACAAGACTTATTTTACATTATACCAACCTTCCTTATAATATTTCCTCAAATGAATGTGTTCAAATTGAAGTACACTAAAGTGGATCTGTTTTGTCTTTTGTAAAAGGAAGAAGACAAGCATCAAGTGATTTCCAGTGGATCCTATGACCTCCTCCAGGACAGCTGAAATCAGCACATCCAGCATAAGCTACGGAATTATTTGAATCCTCTCTGTAGCAGAGCAGTGGGACATTCTGCTGCAGTTCTCTTTGAGAACAGAAGAGGATGCTGTGAACTCCATGTCACGATGACGGGACAGTGGAACACTAGACTGAGAAATCAATCTGAATCTACTGAGGTTGTGTATACATTTTTTTTGGTCAGTCTCACCTATGACTGACCACCTTTTTTTTTCTTTTTTCTTTTTTTGAACGAGTGATTATTTGTATGTGTAAATGTTGTGAATTTGGTTACCAGCAGTCTCTAAATTCTGTTGTACTACAGGCATTAATAAATGCCCAGCATACAATGTTTTAAATAACTGCCCTGCTTAAAGCACAAATAATTAAATAAAAAGAGATTATAAAAATTGTCAAGGTTGTGAGCTCTATATATCTATTTTATGCATAATAAGTCTTTTGGGGTTGCAATCTTTGACACATTTGACACATGCTTAATTATCCAAAGCACCTTAAAAGTACATGCACCTGAAAATAATTTTCTGTTAAACAAAATGATGCGACAATTTTGTGTTCAAATTTCACTCTTGACAAAAGTTGTGCACACTGATTTTTAAAAACTACAAAAGTCATGAATTAAAACCAGAAATTTGAACGAGACACTGTGGAAGAAGATTCCGAGGTAAGAGTACATGATTTAAGAATTGTGGAAAAAAGTGTGGAAACCCTGATCTTGCCAAACTGCACATATCGTTAAATAATTTGGGATGCAACTCGTTTGTTTTGACATTTTCCTTTTATGACAGTACTCCTCACACTTTGCTTTCTTTTTTTCTCTCTCAAAATTCTTAGTGGGAACAAAAAACAAAAGTTTATACCATGGGCATTTGGCTTTGAATTGAGAACATCAGACATTTTATCTTTCTTACCCCATTGGTTGCAAGCATATCTGGATCATTTACTGAAACTACTAAATGTGTGTTGTTATGCTGGCCGAGACTTTGAACAATCATATTTTTGTTTTTAAATTTATGAAATATAAACTTAAGTCCTCTCACCTTTGACCGACCACCTCGGGTTTGTAGTTTCACGTAATTGACCACAAGAGGGAGCTGATGTTCACCAATTATTTACATGCATTTATTCTCATTTAACACAACAAATATGGAGTTTTGCTGGAGTATGAAAATGTTCATGTATTTGTCGCTTGTGCATATAGTAAATGAGCCAAATTGAAGCAACTATGAGTCTGTTGACGCTGTAATACGACATGACACGTTATAAAGTGAAGTGCAGTTTTCCATCCGCTCCACTAGGCGGCAGAAGCACTTTCAGAGACTTCGGATCCTTGACAACATGAACGTGATCAGAAGATGTAGAACCGTCAGAAGACACACAACAGTTCAAATCAATGTGAGTTACTGAAACCCGACAGTGACAGGAAAACAAGCACTACACTCGCGTCTGTGGCTTTTGAATGACGCGTTCACACAACACACGTTTATCGAAATGTGATATTAAAATGTGAAGTTATTAGGGAGTCAGTTAATCGTTTAATAAAATGTAATTTCACTCAACCTAACTGTGTGGACGGAGCTACGAGATACAGTTCCTCGAATTGAGTTTCCAGAAAATAGAACCGAGGCTGTTTGTAAATATATAATCGACGGTAATATTGTTGAAAGAAATGTAATGTCTCAAAGATTTATGAAATTATAAATAGAAAGCATCGTAAACACCATATTCACACTTAAATTATCAAATATCAATATTTACTTGGCAGGCGGAGAAAATGTGTAACTGTACACATGTAAAGTGATTTAAAGGACAAAACGAAAAAACCGTTAAATATATCTTTTAATCAAGCGATGAAGAGCTGGATTTGGTGGGTGTGTTTACGTGCTGTCAAACAGTGTGATTGATTAACGAATCAGACCAATAGGAGTGGAGAACTGCACCGCCTCTCGTTCCGGATTGGTTGTTTTCTTTAAAGGGTGGGGCATATTATTTAACCAATAGCAGCGTGGAAGAGAGGAAAGGTGTGTCAGTTTAACAGGGGCAAGTTCAAGCTCAAACCGGTGCGCTACGTTTGGCTACGGTTTCCGGTTTGAACGACATGTTTCCTGGAAACCGTGTGCAAAGGGGTTTGAGATACATTTTCTCTTGTTTGGTGGGTGTGTCAAAAATGTCAGCTCAATCAGCAGCAACATGTATATAAACCACGCGGTATTAAAGAGACAGCTCGCACAATGTAATTAACATCAAAATAAATTCACAAGAGCAAGTATATTGTTTGCACATGTTTATTTACTTTAAAGGCAAAATAACTGAAATCATAAGAGCACAAGTATAGATCTGGAACTTCTTTAAGTCTGTCTAAATATCATTTAGTAATTGCAATGTCTTCTGGTCCATATCCTTTCCTTAGGAAGGTGTGTTAAATACTGATTAATGTAACATAAAAATACTATACATATTTATATATTTTGCTATTGTATTATGGAGTGACACTTTCATAAACTTTTCTATACCCCTCTGATTATATAATGGTAAATATTACAATATCATAGCACAACAACAGTGATCAGCAATAATGATAAGCCTAATACTCACAATAAAAATAATAAGGTCATATAGATCATAAGACAGTCTTGGAGGTAAGAAGTGGATTAGGCTATCCTTCACCTGTTTGTCTTTTCATCCTGAAATGCGAGGCAAATGCTGGATCACAATAATTAGGAACCACAGTTTTCACAAATCCCTTCACTCGATTGGGATGTTCTCTTTTATTCTGGAGGGCAAGGGCAGTGACTGTACCATCGAGCGTATTTTGCAGTATTAAACACGTATTTATACCGATTTCATCAGGCTCCTGAAAATTCTTCAAAAAGAACACAAAGATTGGCCTTCTCAGCTGCCGTAGTTGTAGCTCTTGCGTCGTCAGAGCAGAGTGTTCAACGCACCACCGTTTCCGTTTAAAAAACTTTTGCACCGTTTTGTCGGGGCTGAACGCAGCCCGGGTCGCACTAAGACTGTTTTCTTCTTTGATCTAAAAGTGGTATCAGAAATCTCAACCAGATATTTTTCTTGTCCACTTTGTAATATTTATTTATTTAACAATAAAATAGCCTTGAAAATGTATCTTAATCCTGTTGCTTTTCATACACGGGTCAAAGCACACACACACACACACACACACATATATAAAAATAAATCAAAATGAATGATTGATATATATATATATACACTTTTATTACCACTTGACAACAAAGTGGCTTGCGTGATAGTTACACGTTAAATTCATGGACTTTGATTTGATAGACAACATATTTAAATATAAAAACAAAATGACTTTACATTTTACTTTAAAGACAACAGGGAAAAAAAGTCTTTTAGTTCAGGTGTATTGAAGTTAGTTTCTGTATATGAATAGAATAGCCTTGAGTGTCATGAAATGTGTCATGTCTTTGAAGTTTGAACTACATATGTCAATCCACTGGTTTTAAATCTTTGTCTATAATATAGTTACATTTTTTTTAAACATCTAAATTATTTAAAAATATAGTATAGTACATATAGTACATATTACATAAAATTAAAGTCTTTGTTTATCTGTGTTTAATTTTGTGATTTATATGTGCTTCCCCTACAGAGTAAGGGATGTGTTTGAACAGAAGCGGAGCTCTGGGACGTGTGGACAGACTTTCACTGTAATGATGGACATCCGCTGATGGACAGGTAAGACTCATAACTTATGTTTGTGTTTTGTTGTGTACTAAACATGTAGGTTACCATCATTTACTTTTTGGAGGCTCACCCCTCTGGAAAGCAAATGATGGTAACCTAAACAGGTGGGGAAGGGACGGCGGAGCTGAAAATTTATACAGCTAAACTCTTATTTTTTTTCTGTCAAGAAGTATAACCCCTGCTGGACATCGTGCCAGGGCTCGGGTGGGACCCGAATCATCCCCACACCTTCATTCACACAACACTCACTCATATCGCAGAGATCTGGCTGGGCTCGAACCAGCAACCTCTGAACCATGAGGCAGCGCTCTAACCTGTGAGCCACAGATCTCTTGTCTGAACATGTGAAGGAACCTATATTTCACTATTCACCTGCATGTGATTTTACAATAAATCAGTCAAAGCTAACAGCTGTCTGAACACACTGAGGTGGGATTTGAACCCATGCCTCAATCACAGCCTTATCAACCGAAAACATGTGCTTAACCACTAACCCACTGTAGCTTTCACCTGGCTTTTGTGGCACTTTGTTGAATATAACGACAACAATTTAAAGTTATCAATAGTGAGACTTGAATTCAGGTCTTCTAGATGAAAGTCCAGTGCTTTATCTACTGAGCCACTGAATCTGTGGAGTGGTTTTGTGTTTTGGATGAGGTTTTATTAAGAACTTTGTTTGAACTAATGAAGAACAATAGTATTTGTGGGATTTGAACCCAGATGTTGGTGAATGAAAGGCAAACACTCATCCACTGAGCCTGTGGCATTTTGCTATTCTTTGATGTTTAGTTTAGCAACTGCATCATGAAATATTTAATAAGCAATAGATGCTCAAGTTTGAAGGCAAGCAATTATCCTCGGTGCCACAGAGTTTGTGACAACAGGGTTTTACTGAGATTTTGACTTTGTTTTACATGATTTGATCTCAGGACTCGCAAGATCAATGTATTAATAAATCAGTCAGAATCAAATGGACAAACACTCATAATTATCTTTAAGAACTCAAACTGATAACCTGATAAACACACAACATGTAAATAACATCATTTGTTAATTTTCTTATTATTATTCTTTATTTTAATAAGAAACATAGGGTCCAACAAACGTGCCGGGAGGTTTCTAGTGGTCCTTAAGGCCTTGATTAGCTGCTTCAGGTGTTTTCAGTCAGTTTGGAGCTAAACTCAGGAAAGTGGCTCAGCAGGAGCAGGATTAAACAGCCCTGTTCCTAATGCAGTTTTACAGATAGTTGCAGATACACGTATTGTCCACAAGGTGGTGCTGTGTGCTGACAAACTGATCTGATCTCATGCATGTGTCTGTTCTATTAATTATTAAAAATAAGTCAAAACATTTCGGTTTAGTCATAATATTAGTCATTAGTTTGTCAGCTGTCATTTTGATACAGGGTTTAATTGGCATTTGTCCAAATCTGTCCTGGTTTCAAATAACCTGTCAATCTTTGCTATAAACGCATGATTAAATCCAAGACTGGCCGGCCACCTTGTCGTTTGTCGTTTTAATTAATGAAAGCTGATAGATGTGTTGACCACACGAGGGAGCAGATGTCTTTGAGTCTGCTCGTAAGTGAAACTGAAGCGCAGTTGTTCCTCCGCTCCACTAGGCGGCGGAAGCGGCTTCACGTTCAGTCTGAGCGCTTCAGATGAGTGACAGAATGACGCTTGTTGTGACAGCATGTGCAGACCGTTTAAAATACAGATCCTGCAGATGACAGCTCTGGGACAGTGTTTTTAATGTCATTAAACAGCATCTATTCCAGCACAAAAACAAACAAAACCGACACCCGCTGCGATAAAGTGCAGGAATCGAGAGTCACTGTAAGTAACTCCACACATGCAGTGCTTTTCTCTTGCACTAACCATTGAAGTACTTACTCTTTGCACTCAAGTCGTTATTTACTTTAATAGCCAAGTATTTCAGTTTTGATGTGTCATTATTTTTTCTGATATGTTGTAGCAGTGCTCCGCTGCCAGTTTTATGTTATGTTATGATTTACGTTATGATGAATTTCATGTTGTTTTTAATGTGTCTCCACGCGGACACTAAAGCACAAACACGCATAGATTTGTTGATGTGTTGTTTTTTGCACCTAAAATCTTGTTTAAATAGGCCACTTGCTATTTGACAACTAAGTATGTATCTTTGTATGTATGTTTTTATGTACGATTATAAATACTAACTTTTAAATGCTGATGGTTTAGATGTACTATATAAAGTAATGTCTGTTTATTTCTATCTTTCCTCTACAGAGTAAGGGATGTGTTTGAACAGAAGCAGAGCTCTGGGACGTGTGGACAGACTTTCACTGTAATGATGGACATCCGCTGATGGACAGGTAAGACTCATAACTTATGTTTGTGTTTTGTTGTGTACTAAACATGTAGGTTACCATCATTTTCTTTTTGGAGGCTCACCCCTCTGGAAAGCAAATGATGGTAACCTAAACAGGTGGGGAAGGGACGGCAGAGCTGGAAATGTATACAGCTAAAATGTTATTTTTTTTCTGTCAAGAAGTATAACCCCTGCTGGACATCGTGCCGGGGCTCGGGGGGGACCCGAATCATCCCCACGCCTTCATTCACACAACACTCACTCATATCGCAGAGATCTGGCTGGGATCGAACCAGCAACCTCTGAACCGTGAGGCAGCGCTCTAACCTGTGAGCCACAGATCTCTTGTCTGAACATATGAAGGAACTGCATGTGGCCACTGATTTTTCAATAAGCCAATTAAAGACTTTCATTAGAAAGCTGAGGTGAGATTCGAACCCGTGTCATGCTCACAGGTTTAGCAGTAGAGTATGTGTGTTTAGCCACTGGCCCAACATGGCTTTTATGGTCAGTGCTGGTGTTTGAGCCACTTCTTTGGTTATACAACACCAAAACAATTAGGATTAACGTGAGCAATAGTGGAATTTGAACTCATCCATGAATACAATGCAAAACTTGATCCACTGTGCCACTGTTTTAATGAGAGTTTTGTTGTATATGATGAAAAGCTTAAACAGTTGTGCAATGTTTCATTTATAAATGGATCACTTCGACTTTTCAGTTTAACTTCAGCAGCTTATCTTGACCCACTGTGTTGAGATGGCAATGCCATTTTAAACGTGAACATTTTGTGAACTAAGCTTAAAGGTTGGTAAAAGCATCTGGTCCCTACTTTTTCTGTGCAACTATTTTTATTATATTTATATTGTAATTATAATTTTATTTTTTTCCTCAGGTGACCCTACGCAGGACAAATGGGTTGGAGAATGGATGGAAGTCTTAAACAGTTTTACATTTTTCTGTACTACCCCAGATATGGCAGCTTGTTACAGCTTTGCATGTTAACATAAAGCTCTGCATGCAAAACCTTATGCCAATAAGCCTGAAACTTTTGTTTTTGAAAGTCTTCTGCCTTTCACATGGGAACTTTAAAGACTATGGGATTTTTTTGTTGTTGCATCATTTCTTCTGATAGATTGTGAAACTGGTTAGTTTCACCAGTTTTTTGTAATGCAGTTTTCCTTATGCCAATAAGCCTGAAACTTTTGTTTTTGAAAGTCTTCTGCCTTTCACATGGGAACTTTAAAGACTATGGGATTTTTTTGTTGTTGCATCATTTCTTCTGATAGATTGTGAAACTGGTTAGTTTCACCAGTTTTTTGTAATGCAGTTTTTTTTTTTTTTTTGTCAGTTTCATGAACATGAATCACTTTGCAGGATGGCGAGCAGCTGCATTAGCCATTTTTTATAGATTCATAGATAATAATCTTCCATTTGAATAAACCCAAGACAAACTAATACGCATTGTCTAAAAACAGACTGGATTTGGGAAGAAATAGCTTTATTTGAATTTCTTTGACTTGCACATGCATAAAACAGTACATAGTACATGGTATTCACTGATATGGTTATAGTATAACTATATCAAGAGTTCGCAGGCAAAATGAACAATTTTCCCTCCCAATAAAATTACGTAAACATCCAAACTATAAAAAAAGATGATGAGAACATGCAGCAAATGGTCACATAAGAATAGCCTAGAGTATAAAAGAAAGACATTAAAGAACTGCTATTTTGATTTGTCATCTTTGGTTTTAGCTTGGTGCAAACACTTATAAATACTGTTTCAGTTATTGTATATACTGCAAATCCTAAATGAATAAGTAACATTTCAATGAATTAATATGTTATGGCATTTACAGTGTAATTCTTTCGAGTTTCACTGTGAGTGGAGCTTCTTGCTTTCATTGTAAAATCACAGTGACTTTCAGTTTCTCAAATTTCAGTTACAGACTTAAGTGATGATTGTCATGTTTAAACAGTCTTAGTTGTCGTCTGTGGCACTGGTTTCAGGTGAACGCGAGGACGCGTCCCTGAAGAACTCATCCTCTTTTAGCATGCTCTGGAGAACACAGGAGAAACTGAGGTAAGGACAAGAGAGACCACAGCAGATACAGTACAGCAGGAATAGTCTTACAGTCAGGATGTTGATTCCCTCCGAGAATGCGCCGATCTGTCGCACTGTGCCCTCGGAGTCCTCCATCTGCACAGAGAATCACAACATCATTTAAACAATTTAACAATAACATCCAACTATGACCAAAAAAAATAAGAATATGATTCACAATTTAGCTGCATTGCATCCTAGTCTGTAGAACTGCCTATACCTGATCCAAGCTGTCCTCATATATGCAAAGGCCTTTGTGGAAACTGCTGCTCTGAGGCATCTGCACATCCATGGGGCAAACATACTCTTCCATCTCCTGTCGCTTCCGCCTCAGTGTCCCAAAACTTCCAAACGACAGACGTCTTGGCTAAAAGGAGGAGAGGATGGTAAAGGACAGGTAAAACGTTATCAACATGCTGTTATTACGTTAATAAACAGCTGTTCACTGTTGTATTCCACACATTAGTGACATTCAAGGTCCCACAGGCAAGTCAACCTTGCACACAGTTACTTGCCTTAACTTTGGCTGTGGCTGTCAGGACAGTGTAATCGGAGTTTTCGAGATACTCCTGCTTCAGCCTTTGTGCCTCTGAGCCAATCAGAAGATGGAAGTTGTTTGCAAGGTGACGTCTCAACAGAGTTTTATTCGGTGGGATGTTAAGAAGCAGAGCCATTGTCTCAACATTGAAGCGAGGCTCTAAACCCTGAGAAAGGCAAGTAAAAAATAAATAAGTAAAAGCAATGTGAATTTGAACTTTATGATATTTCCTGCCCCACTGCATGTACCATTAGACCTCCGTGGACTCCACTTCCTCTCAGGTTGGGTGCGTACTCTGCTAGATCCACTGAACGAAGCCACTCCATCACCCTGTGATTGGTCCATTGACAGATTTCTGCTGGCGTGGGATTGTTCTAATCAAAGGAGGAAAAATAGAGCAAAATTCAAAGTGAATGGAGCTTAGTGTGGTAGCATAATGACAGGTTGTGCTACCTCAGTCGGTCGGCGGCGGAGGCAGTTGGGGTCATAGCGGTTGATACGTAGCACCTGAATGGCCCTCTTAATACTGAGATGGTGAAGCACACTGCCCACTTTCAGTCCCAACAGGTCATCCTAACCAAAGATAAGTAGAACCTTAGAATTGCGTTTTCCACAAAAACATTAATAATTTAGTAGTTTCTTGAAAACCAAATCAGCATATTGGAATGATTTCTGAAGGATCATGTGACACTGAAGTCTAGAATAATGGCTACTAAAAATTTAGCATTGCCATAATAGGAATAAATTACATTTAAAATATATTAAAAGGCATTGCAATATTTAAATTGTAATATTATTAGGATTGATTTATTTGATACCTACCACAGTCATGTAGTGAAGCATGCGGCCATCCACTCTGCCCTCGTCAAACTGAGCTTTATACTGAGGTAGGCCGATGTCATCCAGCCATCCTTTGAGATAATTATAATAACCCTATTGGTACTCGCACTCTTTAATAAAATGTTATTAGTGCATCCCTAGTACTAGGTCTGTCAGTCCTAAATAACATTCGTAATCAACTACATTCACAGACATCTGGCTTAAATTATTATTTATTTTTTTAATAAATAAATAAAAAAAGATTGTTACTTACGAGTAACCCAGTTGTAGTCCAGTTTACCCATGGCATCTTCCTCCTCTGAGCCCAGTGACTGAAGAGCCAGCTGCAGTTTCTTTCTATGTAGAGGATGCCTGATGCCCATTTCCTGAAGCACAGACAGAACTATCATTCAGCACACAGAATAACCTAATATATAGTCTATATAGACAAGAAGAGTCAAGTAGCCTTGTGTAGCCTTTTCAACAAGATGATGTGTTACACTAATTTGAAAATGTAGGGCAGTTCAGGAGACCTTTTCCAATTCATGCTGAGACGCCTTCAATAATGTCTGTCCAGAGCTGATCCATCGCTTAGCCTGATTTACATACAAGCCCAGATCATGGTTCTGCAGCCACTCACACACTTGCTCTTTACTCCACTGTGAAAATGGGCTGTCCAGCTCGCTGACAGAGACATTTACAACATTACATTTTGCAGTGCTTGGGGGAAAAAAGAAACTAACGAAAGAACTCTTAATAAACAAACTGCAGGTACTTGTTATTGCTTCGCTGCAGATCACGTGACCAGCCCAGTCTGGGTCCCGCTGTGGCTCGGACTCCCCCTCTCCTAAACTCTGACGCTGGAAAATCGTCCAGGTCAGAGGAAGTGGACTGACTTCTCTTCATCCTAATGAATGGATTATACATATGTATAAAAGTTAATATCTTCATCTTGATAACCACTGAAACTTATTAACATATTAAGAAACGCATTAAAAAGACCTTCCAAATAACTTCATGATCCCCTTCGATTTCTTCTTCCCTTCAGGCGAGCGTGTCTCTAATGCTTTTGTCTTCCGAGTTTGCACTCCGGCCAAATCCAAGTGCTCAGTTCCCTTACGCTCTCCTTCAACTGCCAATATATAACCAACAATAGGGTGAATCTTACAACAAATTGCCAAGAAATATGCATACTTCATCTCAGAAGCTAAATGTAATGTATATATGTAATAAATATATATATATATATATATAGTTTTTAAATAAAAATACTCACAAAATGTTTTACAGTGTCTGGCCTGACTCACCCAGATTGGGAGCACTGCTTGTCATCTTGTTGCCTCTGATCCTGAAAAAGCCACGTCCAAAAGAGGAACGTGTTTTTTTAGAGCCAAAACTCTCATTCCCCACTGAGCTGGGTTGAGTCGGGGAGACAGATGGAGAGCCTCCATTTTTACTGGCTTCATCCTAAAATATAACAATCAAGTTTGCTGGTCTTGGTTAAGATATTGCACGTTTTGTTTTGTGAAACAATTAGCTCAAAAAACCTCTCAAGTTCTAATTAAAAACAAATTAGACGCTTAGCAATCAGCATCCTTTACTAAAAAAAAAAGTGCCCAGTGCAGCCGTTTTATTGTAAATATAGCTTTTTGTCAGGCTCATGTTGATCTGATTTTACTATGAACTAGGAAAGTGTGCTGGCTTGTGTGATGTGAGATGCTGTAGGGGGAGCCATTGTGCTTACAGGAGAACAGTGGCATTATTGTGTGCCAGTGGAGTTTTTAACCAACAGGGGGTGCCAGAAAGCTAAATATGCAAATCTCCAACTTTTTTACAGGATTTATGAACATATCTAGTTCATAATTTCTCATATAGATTAAGTTGGTACCTCATT